TAACCCCTCAGTCCAACTCCTAGGACATCTGACAAGTTCCCAAATCCTTTTGAATTGCAATAATCTCCTTTTTGGCCTCTGTCTCCAATCACCCTCCAGCCCCATCACCTTACACATTGCTGCTGCCCAATCTTCCAACACCAAATACTCTACAGTAGAAATAGTGTAAATAAGGAAATTTGGTGCTCTACATTTACTACATAAATTTACAGACCTCATAATGCTCACTATCTACACAGATAAATTAGTTTCCTATCTACACAACACTGCTGAACCAAGTGAGTAAAACGTAGTGGTTTAGAAGAATACATGTTTACTTTCATATAGTTCTAGATGTCAGAAATCCTGCATCAGTTTCACTGAGTTAAAGTCAAGGACTTGGCAGAATTGGCTCTTTGTGGAAGTTCTGAAAGAAGAATCTGTTTTCTTGCCTTGGCATGTGGTTCCTTCTTCCTGCTTCAAAGTACCTCAATACAACCTGCTTTCATCAGCATGTACCTTCTCCTCTAACTTCTCCTTATCCCTGTGATTACACTGAACCCACCATGATAATCCAGGATAATATCTCTACTTTAAGATCCTTAACTGGGGCCTCCCTGGTGGCCTAGGGGTTAAGTCTCAGTGCTATCTCCACTATGGCTTGAGTTCAATTCCTGGCAAGGGAGCTAACCCACATGGCTCAGCAGACCTCTCCTGTCTCACCTGATGCTCCCCTCAGCAGTGTATTTCAGTAAATCTGTCTGTTCTGCTCCCTACGCTGTCTCTGGTGAATCTTCTCACCCCCGTATCTCTGGCCTACAGCCAGATATTCTATGCAAAAATAATGTAAAAGCTTTTTTTAAATCTTTAATTGGATCACATGTACAAAGTTCCCATTGATAATATATCAAGTGAGTTTATTCCTGTGATGCTAGACTCATTCAATGATATTTTTTAGTCAATAAATCACCATATTAAGAGGCTAAAAAAGAACATTGATACAAAAAAAAAAAAAAAAAGCATTTGACAAAACTCAACACCCATCCTAAAAACAAAAAACAAAAAAACCTTAGGAAAATAAGGGGAACTTCATCAACCTGATACATCTATAGCAAACCTCCAACTAACACTATATACTTAACAGTGAATGCGTGAAAGCATGAAAGCCTCCCCTCCCAAGCTTGGAACAAGGTAGAGGTGTTTGTTCTCACCACTCTTATTTATTGTAGTGCTGGAAGTACTAGCCTGGGCAACCAGGGAAGAAAAAGAAAAAACACACAGATTGGAAAGGAAATAAAACCGTCCTGTCTGAAGAAGACATGATTGCCTGCAGAACTGATGCTGGAGCAACCGGACATCCATAGGTGGAAAAAATGAATCTTGAGCTAAATTTCATACTTCATACAAATATTAACTCAAAATGAATCACAGACTTAATGTAAACATATAACTATACATCTTTTAGGGAAAAAACTATCAAATCACAGGGCTCTAGGACTCAACAGAGTTCTTACAACTGATATTAAATGTGTTATCTTAGAAAGAGGAAAATTGTAAGTTGGACTTCACCAAATTTTAACACTTTTGTTCTGTAAAACACTCTATTAAGAGGATAAAAAGGGCCTCCCCGGTGGTGCAGCGGTTGAGCGCTGGGTTGCGAAGCTGCCCGCAGCCTCTGCAGCGCCGGTTCGATCCCCAGCTGCTTCCCGGCCACCGGAGGAGGGTCCCACATGGCGCGCAGACCTCTCCTGCCGCCCGCTGCTCCCCTCAGCAGTGTACTTCGTCACTCTGCCTGTTCTGTTCTCCTCTCTGGCTCTGGTGAATTCTCTCACCCTCCAACGCTTCTGACTATACCCAGTGCTTGTATAAATAAATAAATAAATAAATAAATAAATAAATAAATAAATAAATAAATAAATCTTTTTGAAAAAAAAAAGAGGATAAAAAGACAAGTTATAGACCAAGAGAAAATATTTGCAAACCATTCATCAGACAAAGGACTTACCTAGAACATATACATATGAGAGTGGAGATACATCTGCATTACACAGAATAGATACTATTCTTGTACATAGAATTATCTAGACACCTACAATTCAACAAAAAAAAGGCAAAGAGTCTTTTTAGACTCTTTGATGGAAAGGCAGGTAAGAGACAGAAAAAGATATTTCATAAAAGAGAATATACAAGTGGCCTGTGTGTGTGTACATATATAGAAATACATGAAAAGACATTCAACCTCACGAGTCATCAGGGAAAAGCAAATGAAAACTACAAAGCAAATTACCACCACAAACAAAAATATAATGACTCAAATTTAAAAAACTAAGACCACCAAGTATTAGTGTGTAAAGAAACTGGAACCCCACCCACTGCCCCTGGGTTCTCTGCAAAGTTCTCTAGCAATACCCCTGACAGTCGAATTTTCCACTCATAGCTATTTATCTAACAGATAACTTTGTCAAAAGATATGAAATAACCAAAAACTGGAAACAACCTAAATATCCATCAGTAAAAGAACCAAAATATTGTATGTTCAAACAATGGAATGTTACATAGCAGGGAAAATGTACATGCTATCACCACATGGGAAAATAAAGATAATGTTGAGTAAAAGGAAAGCTTGCACACTTCTTGCTTCTGTTTCTATTAGGTTTAAGCTCAGGCACAATTCATCTACGGTGTTAGAAGTAAGAACAGGGGTTACTTGGGCAGAGTTGCTGGAGAGAGAATGAAGGGACCCAGGGACTCAGCTGCATGCTGGGAAATGTTCTATTTCCTAATCCTGAAGGTGGTTTACATGGGTTTGCTCACTTTGCGAACACTCACTGAGCCTACCTCTCAAACCACCCACTCCCAGCTCCTTATATTCCAGCCATACTCCCCTTCTTCCTGAGCTCCAAAAATGGTAAGCTTGAACAAAAAAATGGTAAACGTGTTCCCCATCTCAGGACCTTTGGGGGCCCACTGCTGGGGACACAGTTCAGACTTCAGCAGCAATGGCTCCTCCTCATCTTCAAGGTCAGAGCTCGCTGCAAAGAAGACTGTCTGGAGTACTCAATCCAAAGAGCCTGTCCCGACATCACTTGTGCCCCATCACACCACCATCAGAAATCATCTCGAAGATCGACTTACACACTTGCTTGTTTATTGCTGACTGCTTTCATTAGGAATATCAGCACCCTGGAGAGACAGGACCTTGTGTGTCCTGTTAATGGCAGTATCCCCAGGACCATGAGTCCTTTGTTAGGAGTGCACACCTAACACATAGCCATTGAGCAAATGAGCGTCACCAACTTACTAAGCAATGTCTTCTGCTGTGGGGCTACTCAAGACACAGAGTTGGAAAGGGAAAAAAATGAAAGGAACAGCAGAGAACTAAAGGAAGCATAGACAGTCATATAAAGCAAAATGCCACCTCTGGTGCCACTCAGAGGCATAAAACAGGTCAGCCTATAACCCACTACTTTGAAGAGGTGAACGGTGATATTCTCAGCTGTAGCTTCCCACCACATGAGCTACACCTAGCAGACTGCCATGGGTAAGGTAAGCGTTCAGCAGATACCTGATGCACAACAATCTTCCAAACAATGGTTTTAAGAGGTTGATTAAATAGCTCAAAGAACTAGGCTTGATACAACTGGATGGTATGATTCTACCCACTAGCTCACATACAGTGCTGTCAACCAATGTCAATTCCATAAAAAAGAAAAATAAAGAACCAGATTTAGGAGTGTTGGGCTTTTTGTTTGTTTTCTAATCCTAAGGCCATTTATTCAACTTCAGTAAGCAAACAGTACAACAAGCACCTGGCAGACGCAGAGCACAAAAGCTCCAAGCTCTGTGCACTCATAATGCGAGAGAAGCAGCAGCTGATGGAAGAATAAAGCCCTAAACAACAGAATAATTTGTATCTCATAGGGTAGAAACCTAGGAACTTCTGTCTTCTTAATGATCTGTTCTCAAGAGTTTTTTTCCTTGTGTATTCATTGTATAGCTGCCTCGTTCTTTGTATAGCTGCCTCGTTCTTTTAAGCTAAGGCGTAACTGCACATTTTTCAGCACTTGTTTTTATCAGTTATTCTCTCTGGGATTGGCAACTAAAATCCCTCAGCAGACTCAAATCCTTTTAACCATTTGTAAAATTCATGATCATTTGTTTGTCACCAAAATAAAATGAGTTAAGTGGGAAATGAACTAGTTATATGGAAAAGAATGCTATTCAGAAGACATCCCAGCCTAAAAAGAAAGAAAGAAAAAAGAACTGTCAGTATCAGATATCATTAATAACATTCTAGAGCTGGACCTAAACCAGCTAATGCTAAATTTCATCTCCCTATTTTATAAGTGGGTCAACCGATGTCAATTTCTGAAATTTTAAGAGGAAACCCAAATGGGCTGTGTCCTTACAGGTTAAATCTCTCCACCTTCTGAGCTGGGGTTTGACAAAAAAGTTAATGAATGAGTATGTGAATGAATGAATGAATGGATGAATGAAGTGAGAGATGTTCTCCTAAATAGTTATGAAGCTAGTTTGTGGCAGGGCCAGGACTATAACCCAGTTTTCATTTCTCTTCTTTGGTAACACAAATTACAGCTACATTAGTTAGTGCTCAAGAGAACAGCAATGTCACTGAAATCACTTACTGACCTTAGTTGTGTTTTTTTCTCATTCTGCTTTTAGACATGCAAACAAAAGGAAGAATGAAGAAAGTGCCAAGTAGGATGACATAAGAAAATTGCACTGCAGCCAGATCACACATAGAAAATGACAGGAAAAAGGTAGGCAGAGAAGGCTCTGTGATTTTCTTCTCACTCTCACCTGATCTAAGAGATATAAAAGGTAGGAAGTTAGAATGCATTAGCTGTCAAATCAACAATAATCCATTTGAGGCACAGACTTTTATAACAATGGAGTCATTTTATAACCACGGGCTTGAGAGAGTCCACAACTACGGGAACAAGAGGCAGAAATGAGCAGGAACAAGGATGTAACGAGATCATGGGAGATGATATACTTACTCCTCCAGGAAGTGCTGCTGAGGTCCTATGATGGACCCTGGCCGGCATATTCTGATCCAAGCAATGATTTCCGCATGTGTAAACCTGTAGTGTTTCATGACGTAACAAGCTATCAACGTCCCTGTTCTTCCAAGACCAGCTGGAAAAGAGAAACAGACAAGAAATGCAAAATATAGCTAATGCATCCACAAAAACACTGAAATCAAAAATTGCAGTGGTTTCAAGTAAAAGGAAAGAATTTTAAGTCTACATAATAATGTAAAGCTTTTTATATGATGTGGGGCTACAAGATCATTCTACCTCAAGAAATCTGTTTAAAATAGATCATAGGATTAAAATAAACACAGATGAGAAAATATAAAAATCAGAACAAGGGTCTTGAAAACATCAAGTTCAACCCCCAGGACCTTTGGAAATGACTGTCTTTGTGGATACAGGTAAAGCAATGCTGCTTCCCTGACAAGACCTTGCAAACTATTTATTACCTGTCAAATGTCACATGCTCCCTGTCCTTGGCCCCAACCCCCCATCCCAGGTGAGATGAATCTATCGTTAATATTTGTCTGTGATACACATGTCATCAGACTAACTGATTTTATTAACATTATTATGAAGGTCATTTTTAACTATGTAAATATTTAGGGTTTTAAGAATTATTTTAATATATGGAAGCATAGAATCAAACCTAGAAGACACCCAAATTATTTTAGTCTAAGGAAGCATAGAATCAAAGCTAGAAGACACCCTGGTTATCATCAAGCCCCATCTACTACTAACCTGCACTTGGTTCAATATTCTTTCTGTAAGGTGGACATCCTAACTTCTGTTCAACACATTCAGAGACCACAGATTCATTATTTGCTCTATCAGTCATTAAACAATTGATGGCACACCTACCACCCACCAGGTACCGTGCCAGGAGCTGGGGTCACAATGACAAAGCAGACACTGTCCCCTCGAAAGAGCTCTCAGGTCACTGAGAAAGAACCAAGCAAACAAACTTCATTCCCCGGAGCTCTTTCATTTTATAAAAAAAGTTCCATCAAAACAAAAGAAACTCACACAACTAAATGAAACATACCCTAGAAATATGGCTACAGAATTGAGGCTACTAGAAGAGGAGCGGGGGGTGAAGGTGAGAAGAAAGAGGAGGCCCAACAGTCACTGGTGAAGGGCTAAGGGTGTTCTGGTGGTGGGTGTGGTGTGGGGACATGCACCTGAGGATGTGTGAACTGATTCCCCTAATCATAAAGTGTTGTAAACCAATGTGACCGCAATTAAATCAAAAAATAAACATAGTAAATCTAAAAAAATTTAATGAGATAAAATAATTTGGGTATCAGTATATTTTCTTTATGTTGAACCCAATCTCTACTGTATAAGACAGAGATTATAATTAGAAATGATTTTCAAAGAAGTGTTGTTTATTATTGTGAACTCTGAATTCTTCAAAGTGTTTTCACAAATTATTGCATTTTTTTCTTCTAGTCAGAAAAATAAATATTGGCAGGACTTTAAATTTTAGACAATATTTTAAATACATATATGTATATATAGCTATATGCACAGGGATATATGTATATTATATATGCAGAATTACATACATGTATATATATATGTACAAGAATATTAGCCAGGAAGCAATAAGCACAGATATTGAATTTAACTAAAACTAATGTCTTAGAGAAAAGAGGAGGGACTGTGAGCTGTTGTTGTCTTAACAAATATGTCACTGATAAGGACTTTAGCCGACCCGAATAGCAGAAAGGTCACTGAGCATTTTCAATAAGGGGCCGGCTAAGTGCAAGTCTGGCTGAAGAACATGCTAGAGTAGAAAATAAGTCAGATGGGTGTAAAGGACCCGATGGAAGGATGCGTGGAGTCAAGTGGAGAAATACTTGGCCAAGACAAAGGACTGTTGACCTATCATGAGGATATTTATCCCCAAAATCAGATACAAGCTCTGGGCACTGGTTAAGTGACACCTCTGCCCACATGTCATCAGTCTTTGGTGTATGCAGATGATGGTTTGATGAACACAAGTCCATGCTTAATGAGGATTCTGGAATTTATGATATTATAAACAGCTAGCAAACGTACAAGTGCTATCAGGCAAAAATCTACTTTTTTTCTTTAATCAGAGGAAAGGGCAAGATGACACTGCCAAATATTTTGGAGGCAAGAAAGTGAGATAACTGCTGGATCCGGCGGTGGTATAAGGGCTGGTGGTATAAGGGCTGAAAGAACAGGAGCCAGAGAGAAAAGCTCAGAACTAGGGCAGGAGGCAAGCCTGGTTCAAAGGGGCTTGGACGGGGTACAAAGAAGAAATAAAGAGAAGAGTTGAATTAGGTGACAGACGACTGAATTTCTGACCTGGAATACTGGCACAATGTCCATTTTATCAGTGAAAACATTCAGTCAGAAAAGGAAAGGGGAATTTTGGAAGTTTCACTTTTGATGTTTATGAACACCCCCCCCCGCCCCCCATTCAGGGATCCTTTCAGCACTGTTTCCTAGTCAAAATAAAATCAATCTTTTCTAATCTCCCCAGCACATGGAAATACACAGTATTTCAGCAAATGTTAAGACACCAGCATGTCGTCAAATGCTGGGAAATACGCTGTTATTCAAGTTCCACCAAGTAAGAAAAATCAAACCATGACATGCAATTCTTTTCAAGGTCCCTCTTAGTTTCATAAGTGTGAAAAAGGTGTGTCCCAAACAGAAAATTCTAATTTATTCTCAACCTTGATTTCAGTATTGCCCCCGAAGAATCTTTTCAGACATTTTTTCTGAATCCTCCTCCATGCAATTTTACTGCCACCGAGACAATGCCTCTCTCTTTATGTAGATGTGTAAATCTGTGCTTTGTACAGAAAAAAGAGTTTTCTTGACACCCTAAAAAACAATCTTCCTCCTGGGAGACAATATTGCACTAATGCACTGTGTTATCAGATGAGGGATTTTTATTAGATGGCAGGGAGGGAGCTATTTTCATCTGAATTACCTTTCTGCCCAAGATAAAACATCCACATTCTTTAGAAAAGAGTGAAGCTTAATATGGTCTCAGCGGGGCTCTCCCTTTAACACAAGAGTTAAGAGTCTTTTGTCTTTCTGTTCCTACAGAGTTGGTGAAGCCCTGGCCACTGACCCACTGACAAGAAGGCAGGTAATCACGTCAACACAACACAACTGCTTCCTTTCCAGAGTCTCTCCCTCAAGTCACTAACCTGGGTCTCTGTCCTTTATGGAGACAAGGGCCCCTTGGATATGCAAGGGGCTGGCTGCTTCCTATTCGCACACGTTCAACACCAAAAAAAAAAAAAAAAGGTGCAGAATTTTTCAAATTTCTCTCCAACTAAAGTTGCTTCCCCCTTTTTAAAAAAGAGTCTATAATTTAGATCTATAAAAAGAACCTACTTAGCACTCAATAGTTAGCAGCGCTCACCACAATTCAACAGAATAGGAACATTTCACTAAGTTTCCGTAAAAACTTGAACAAATTTTTTAAAGCATTCATAATGAAAGGGCTCCTGGCACGAGGAGCGAAGATGTTGAAAAGTGTGCTATTTATACCTGGTGAAGCGCCCATTGCCCTACCTTCCCAGGCGTTTTCTGAAATCTCTCTCGAACTTCAACAAGCACAGACCACCATCACCAGGTTGCCCTTCTCTGAACTATCATTGGTACTAGAAAATTTCACGACCTCAGAGCCATCCCTTTTATCAACTAGAAGGTAAAAGTACAGATATTGAATCATTGTAAGATTTCACACATTTCCCAGGAAATTAGTTCCTAGTTTGTCTCTATATATAGTACTTTATGTTGAGGCCTGACATATTCATTCTCCTTCCAGCAGCTCCCAAAGTTCATTTGACATTGGATAAGAGTCTCTCTCCCTGCTCCTTACAGTTCAATTAAAATGCTCGCTGCTGCTTGACTTCCTGTAAAATTAGCTGACTTAATTAGGGCAGATGTCGAAATAATTAATAGGCCTATAGTAGGTAAGTATGCTATTAAAAGCAATACAGATGTAATTAATTCAAAGGTGTAACCCTTATAAAAGAATCCTACATGTGTGTACAAATGGAAGAACCTTCAAAAAGATGTCATCACAAGCTAATATGACCTTCCTTTTAAGAATTAAACTCAATGCTAAAGGTTCTGATTTTAAATAAAATTATTTTTAAACTGCAATATAGGGATGTAATATCTATTTCTACTTTAGATTTGTGTGTGTATATCATTATAGATCATGCACAGATCAAAGATATAATAAAGTGAATACCTGTAACAAGAATGTTGAACACCAGAGAGTTTAATTTCACAATCTTTGTAAGGTGTGGAATGCTACAGACAGCGATGCTAAGTTTTAATGAAGGTTTTGCATTTCTTCGCCCTAAAATTTGTCCTAAGATGTAGCCCTAAGATGTAGCCCATAGAAACGACATGGTTTGGTAGTCACAAAACTAGTTGCCTGGGAAATAAAGCCAGGAAAAATACTGATTTTATGACACACAAAAACTTTGAAAGAGCTTGTGAATATCTCCTACTAAACATCAGTAGTTGCACGTGCCCATTAGCTCTCAAATTCCACTGTTAATTGAAAGCTATGACTTTTTCTGGGGCCTGGGTTATCGCTAACCAAATAGGATGGAAAAAGAGCTGATGGATCATACCGACCGCAAGCCAGCAACCTGCCACCCTAACCTGACCCTATCAGCACTGAAAGCACAGTCTATAATCAAGAGAACAAAAGGCACCTTCTAACAGCTCCACCTGGGAGGCAGAGAGAAAGTCCCTGGCAAGCAGGCCCCAACCCGCCCGCAGGGATCCTGACCTAAAGGAGCCTCTATAAAGCAGGGGCCACGTGCAGCTCCCTTCCATCCGTCAGGGTCTCCCACAAAACGCAGCTTCCCCTTGCTGCTCACGTGTTCAGCCAAGTACCTCCACCTACTCAAATCTTAAACATAGAAACAAGGGCCTAGAAAAGGGTGTTTTAATACCTGTCAGAACGAAAGCCATGCTTGTCTGAATAAGTCAGTTACAGCATCGTTAGGCACTTGGAAAGAACAGCACAATCCCCAACACCTACTAGACAATTAGCATAAAACGCAGCAGAAACAGGTTCCCAGACTCAAAACCGTGTGAACAGCACCACCAAGTGGCGTTATGAAAAATTGCATGTGAGGCTGACTGATTTCTCATCAGTAAAATCAAAGACCACTGTGCTGGAACAACCTAAAACAAAATCTGGGGTCCCCCAAACTCTGACAAGTAGGCTTGGAGCAAATGTCATTTCCTATTTTCTCAGTAGCTGGCAAAAAGTTTGCCAGATAAAATAGAGAATGCATGTTCTGTGCAATAATTGTGACAATCCTACTAAAAAGTATCTAATGCTCATCTATAATTGAAATTTAACCAAGCAGCCTGTGTTTTTATTTGCTAAGCTCTGGCAGTCCTATGCCTATTATCTCAATGACCCCTGCCCCCAAGTAGTCACGCAGAGGTCAGAGGTTCATTTACATCACCACTCTTTCAGCAACCTCAAAGACACTCAAACACATCTGGGAGAGCAAACTGCCATGACTGCAGGATGCCACCATCCCCTAGCAAAAGGCAGAAAGACATGGCAGGGAGCTGGCTTGCATGTTCCACGATGCAAAGGTCTAGGAGGGAGCAGGAGGGTCACAGGGTGAAGTGGGAGACAGGTAGCTGGGTGAAAGGGAGTACTGAGTATCAGTAAAAACGGGAGTACTGAGTATCAGTGGATGGAAGAAGATGGAGAGGAACTGGGCAATTCTGGAGAACAAGGAGAAATGGGAAATTAGCAACCCTTGCCTCTTGACAACTGTTCTGAACTAAAGGTACTGGGGCGAGCATACTGGTGCAGCTGCTGTGATTACTCCCACATGTGGCCCTATGGTCAGCGAGGTGACCTTGTGAGACCAGAAAAACTGCCTCCTCCAGAAGGTCTCAGCACCACCCACTCTCCACATCCACAGGCCTTTCTTTAGAAAGTAGGGGACCCTCCCTGGTGGCGCAAGCCGTGAAGACGCAACCTATGAAGAAGATATCTGCAGCCACTGCAGCATTGAAAGGGAACTGCTAAGAAAATCTTTCCCTGTTAAAGAGTCATAGACCTGGAAATGTAAAGTAAATAATAAGCTTGCTTCCTTAATAAGCACATCTAAACAAGGTCTGGCAGCCTGCTAGGATGACTGATCTCCCAGGCCATCCTGGAAGATCTATATCCATCCGCTTTTCCTGTGTCAAGAATTTGTATGCTAACTAACCAGCTTTATCAATGTAAAGTGGTTGAGTATAAAAGAAACTCTTTGTCTCTAGACCAGGGCTCAGACCTTATGGGACTACCCAGGTCTGAGACCTCATGCATGAGTAATAAAGCTTTCCTGACCTCACCACTCCTGAAGTACCACTTGTTCTTCCCCTGCCTGGGTAAAAGGCTAGAATTTATTTCTGCAACAGCATGAGTTCGATCCCCAGCCAGGGAGCTACCCACGTGGCACAGCAGACCTCTCCTGACTTGCCTGCTGCTCCCCTCAGCAGTGTATTTCAGTCCCTCTGCCTGTTCTGCTCCCCACTCAGGTGAATTTAAATGAGATTCTGTTCCAGTTTTTAGAAATAACTAAACCTCGTTTTTTTAAGGCCTGAGAGGTTTTGTTTTGCAGCCTGCTGCCCGGTGCCTTCCGAGGTCTGCACACCTTTGCAGTGGACGGCGATTGCCCCCTCCGTGTTCTCGCAGATGTTGAGGAACCGCCGCACGATGTTGTCACTGGGGGTGCTGCCATCGATGAAGAAGAGGTCGTAGTGCTCGAAGCCGGCGTCCGTGAAGCGCTTGGCCTCGTAGATCTTCTTGTTCAGCCTCACGATTGCAGTGATGTTGTGCTTTTTGAAATAAGGAAAGTAGGCTTCAGGGGCGTGAAGAGGGTAACCTAAGGGGAAAAGATACTGTGAGCAAAGGCACGAATTTTATCTCAAGTAACTCAGACTGGAAAACCCTCCACAATGAAGTTTATAAACCTCGAGTGAGTTTAGAAGGAAAGTGCATGTCATGAGGGAGCAGAGCTGGGAGGGATCCTATAAGCAGTAGTCTGAACAACTGGAAAGACAGAAAGAAGGGGTTGAGAGGAGAGACCCAAAGGAAGGGAGAAACTTCTGCAGGCATTGGGAAACGCCTGTGAACACTCAAAGCTTCAACCCCCAGGATTTAACACACTCCTTTCCAGCCCCAACAAAGGCAACCTTGAAGCATTTGAATGTGCACAGCAAGCCTGGAACCGTTCTTTGTGCTTTTCATTCCACTTAAGACCACCTTTCAGCTACAATTAAAGCTTTTTGCCAGATGTATAGTTTTAACCCATAGTGCAATCGCCTCACAAAAGAGATGAATGGTTATTCAGATTAAGCACCTACCCCTTGCAAATCACAATTGCATATCATTTCTTTTCATTCTCAAACAACCTTCTCAGATAAGAACAGCTAACACCATCCAGCAGATTGAGAAACTAAAAGAGGCTGAGGAATTGTTTTTGTAGATGTTTTCTGTTGGGGGTAAACACGTGGTCAGCCTCTACACCCCCTCCTATTTTGAGTGGAGTCACCAACATGACTAATTCCAGAGAACTGCAAGGTCAGTGAGGTTAGAGACAAATGACCCAGACTTAGCATCCACAGGGGGCGACTGGGGGCTTCAGCCATTGCGACCTTACCAGGCAGCCCCCAGGGTTAAGGGCACTAATTTCTCAGCCCCTCTGGAGGTGCACCACATCTGTAGCTCACTCAGGGCCACAGCTATGCAATTTCAGCAGCTGCATGTCCTACTGCCTTGAAGCCTGAGTGGGCTGGGCTGGTCATTTCTGATGTTCTCAGTTGCCAGTCAGTCCTCCTGATACCTTGCTCTGTGCTGCTGGGGCCAGGGTCTACTAATTACATTTCCCATATGACCTTTCCAGCTGGTTTCCTGGGGGTTCTAAAATTGCAATTGGAGGCTGGGGGGTGGGGGGTGGGAAGAAGGATCTCTTGGGGTACAATTTGATAAAGTTTAAAACTAAGCTACCCCACTCCTTACCTAGGAGACAGGTTTGGGACAATTAAAGAGTAAGAGAATGGATTGGTTGTCTTGGGGACAAAGTCTTACGACTGACCCTATGAGGGCCTCCCTGGTGGCGCAGCAGTTGAGCGCTGGGTTGCGAACCTGCCCACAGCCTCTGCAGCGCCGGTTCGATCCCCAGCCACCAGAGGAGGGTCCCACATGGCGCGCAGACCTCTCCTGCCGCCCGCTGCTCCCGCAGCAGTGTATTTCATCAGTCTGGCTGTTCTGCTCCCCGCTCTGGCTCTGGTGAATTCTCTCACCCTCCCGCACTTCTGACTGTACCCAGTGCTTGTGTAAATAAATAAATAAATCTTTTTTTAAAAAAAAATTAGTTTAAAAAAAAAATAGTAAGACTGACCCTATGAGCAGAAAAGCCAGCCAGAAGCAGGGCCAGGACATGTTTCTGTGTCAAGGCCAGCACCTGAGACCAGACATCCCAGCAGATAACTGGTGTACACTGCCACCCCAAGTTAGAAAGCCCACAAAAACACAGCATGGATGTGAGCCCTAAATCCCCCTTCCGGTGCAGCCTTCTGCCATCTCGCCCACTGCGCCTCTTTTTTTTTGTTTTGTTTTACTTTGTGTTTTTTTTTAAATATTAATTTTTTTACTTTTTACATCATTGTTCATGTTTAAACAATATTTGCTTCCCCCACCCCCTCAGGTGGAGTCCCCATAGAATTTCCTTCACCAAGGCACCCGTGCCCCATCACCTCAGTCCCCTGTGCTCCTCCCTCCCTCCCTCTGCTCCCTCTCCCGCCTCCCCCCCTGCAGGATGTCTCTTAATAGTTTATTTCAATAAATCCAGCTTTTCTGTTACTGACTCTGTCTCTGGTGAATTCTTTCACCCCCACACGTCCCGCGACACCCTGACATTTCTCCCCAATACAGGAGCCAGCATGGTCCAGCAGTAGGAGACAGGAGCAGCCAGGGGCCCCTAATTAGTTTGACACCCCCAGCACAAAGCTTCCCTGAGCACCTCACTGTCTCCTTTCCCAGCCCCGAAAGGCAAAGGCCAGCGTGTGGCTCTCCACTTAGGGATCCAGGCTCTGGCAACCCATTTCCAGCCTGAAAGGCAGTAACTATTTTCTCCAAAATATTCAGGCTTCTGTGTTGTTCTTTTACTTTTTAGCTTCCTTAGAACAAACACCTTGTATTACATTCTCTTTTGAAATAATGTGGTTTTCACTTCCCTGCCCATATCCTGCTGATACATTGTCAGCCTTGGATCCTGTTCATTTTCTTCTTCTTTTTTAATATTCATTTTACTTATTTATGCATACAAGAACTGGGTACGGGGTGGGAGGGGTGAGAGGATTCACCAGTGACAGAGTGGGGAGCAGAATAGATAGGTCTACTGAAATAAACTGCTAGGGGAGCAGTGGGAGAGACAGGAGAGGTCTGCTATGCCATGTGGGTAGCTCCCTGGCCAGGAGTGGCTGGCAATAGTCTGCTAGTGCTGAGACTTTAACACCTGTGCCACCAGGGAGGACCCAGATCCTGTTCATTTTCTTTTTTACTGTTCATTTTCTAAGCCTTGTTCTCCATTTTTTCCCTGAAGACTGGAGCTACCTGACATAATTGCAATAAATGCCTTTTCGTTTTAATTTGCCAGAGTTGGTTACACTACCAGCAACCCTGAGTCCTAACTAGCACACTTAGCCACGGTCACCCAGGAGTGGACACACAACCAGAAGGCAGGCCTGACCAATGCACCACCTGAAGGCTCAGTCTCCAGGGGCTGCGCTGCTTTCAATCAGACAACACAGAGCTTATTTACCATCTTCTGTGTAGAAACAGTATCTTACACACATGTTTAAAGAAAATGGATGCTTCTTCTACTTGGAAAAACTACATGTTTTCCTAATTGGTTTATTTGCTCAAATTATTTCCAAGCAACATCTTTACAACCTAGAGGAAGAAAGCACGGTGGTGGGAGTGAGGGACATGGGCTGTTCTGTCATGTGAGGAAGGAGGAGAAGCTCGTGTAGGACTTCATAGGTGAGAAAGCTGATGAGCTCTTCTACCCCTGAGTGCCTGCACACCTGGCACCTCTTGGGTGGCCTCTGTCAGCCAGCATGATGGCTGGCATGGCATCTGTTTCCTCCCCTCCACCAAGGTTTCAAGAACCTCTCTTTCCATAGACGAATTTCCATCAGGAGTAAATGGCATTCTAATTGGTATACCTAAACCAAATGCATAACTTTAAGGAAAGACTACTAGACAGAATGATCCAAATATTGTATCAGGACATAGAAATAATAATAATGATGATAATAATTGCACTTAATATTTATTGAGCATTTATTATCTGCCAATACTAAACTAAGTGCTTCTATGTGGATAATCTACTGATCCACGGAAAGGGGAACTAGCCCCAGGCACATGCAGCTGGTCAGAGAATGGAGCCAGCACTTAAGTCCTTGCAGTCAGATTCTAGGGCCTGTGTTGGGGCTGATTTCAAGTAATATTCAGTCTGATTCTATTAGTTAGGTGGCCAAATAAGAGAACACTATGTGAGTATTAGGGGATGCACCTCCTGGAGTTGGTCAACGGGTTTCTTTAAAATTCTCAAAATATTTCAAATGCATTATAACCAACAAACAATGACGATCTCCTATGGCCTCTGAACGTGAATTTTCTCACCCTCCCGCGCTTCTGACTGTACCCAGTGCTTGTATAAATAAATAAATAAATCTTTAAAAAAAAAAAAAGGCATTATGGACACTTTTGGATGATCTTGATAAGAGCCCACGCGTAGCTGACAGCATTCACCCAACCCTACTCCATCTGGCCACTAGATGGTGCCCTGGCACCAGTAAAGCAAAGGTGGAACCCAGGAGTTGTCCAAACACAGTATTAGAGCTCGGAGAGATTTTAAAATCATCTCTTCCCAGTGCCTCGTTTAAAGTTAACTGGGCCTCCCTGGTGGTGCAGGGGTTAAGACACAGCTTTATCAAGCTATCGCCAGCCACTGCAGCACAAGTTTGATCCCCAGCCAGGGAGCTACCCACATGGTGCAGCAGTCCTCTCCTGACTTGCCCGCTGCTCCTCTCAGCAGTGTATTTCAGCCAATCTGCCTGTTCTGCTCCCCACCCTGTCTCTGGTGAATCCTTTCACCACCACCCCCACACTTCTGGCCTCTACCCCGTTCTTCCATGTAAAATAAATAAAATCTTTAAAAAATATAGTTAGGAAATTAAAGAAGAGCAGAGTCAAATGACTAGCCCACCTGTCATCATTAAAAGTAAAAACTTCAAAAGAGGAAAATGTAGGAAGCAATGTAATGTTTGTTAAGCTCTCTAATGATATAATGTTATCAGAAGATCTGTTAATTAATAAGCACCTATTATGTGCCTGATACTATGCAAGATAAATAATTATGTTATCTCTAGTCCTCACCACATGCCTGCAATATGCATCTTATTTTCTCTGTTTGACACAGTTTGGAAACTGTGCTCAGAGGGTTTCAGGAGCCAGAGGTAGAACGGGCTTCAACCTGCTCCAGCTCTTCCCATTTAGCTTTTCTCATTAAGTGATCAGGCTGACGCTTTAAATTGCTGGAACTCACTGTCTCCAGTTGTCCTGTGTGCTTTTTTTAAAAACAGAAATAAGACTATTGCCACTTGAGAATTTTTTTTTGGAAAATTTGAAATCCAAATTTCTGTTTCATTATGTGTTTGTATTATTCATTTACGAATTCAAAATTATTTACTAAAAAATAGAGGGTTCTTCCCTACAACCTGAGCAACATGATCCAAGGCGGCTCAAAGAAAATCCAAGTTGCTTTGTTGACACAAACACACACTTAAGAAACTTACAATGCATTCTGTGCAGATGCCAAGATTATATGACTACCTTTGCCATATCCTAGCAACAGCTATTTAAATGATTGTTAATTCCTTAAAAATCTCAGTTTTTCCACTAACAATTCCCCCTCAAAAGGCTTTCAGCCTTCACAGAAAGCACAAAGGCTTCTCAATTCAAAATGAAAGAAAAAAGACCAAATCAAGATTATTTGATATGCTAATAATCAAATAATCCAAAATTGGATTATTTAATTCCATCACAAAATTATCAAAGTTCTAAAAGGATTTACATTAATACCCTTTACAAAAACTACAAAGAAGCTTCTAGTGACAATCAGATCTTAAAATAGGGGCTCTAGTAAAAGATCAGTCTTTTAGCAATGATATCCTTCAATGAGGTCTATCAGGTAATAAGCAGAACTTTTAGACCTTCTTTTCCTCAATGTGAGAGGATACAAGATATGCATAGGGAAAAAAAAGGTGTCTGTAGAGCAATAGCCGAACAGTGGGTTTTTCCCAGATTCTATTATTACAGGCAACTTTTACTCTATATTGCTTACATTTTTATGATGAATATGTAGTCTACAATAAAAATTTTTTTAAAAGCCACAGATTTTAAATTAAAAAAAAAAAAAATGCATGGTTGAATCCACAAACTGCCACCTTCTGGCTGTGTGAACCTGGCTGGTGAGGTCACTCCTCGAAGCCTCCAGTCTTCCCTTCCAAAAAACACTAAAACCTACTCTACAGTAGGTGGTCCTAATTATTAAATAGATGATGCAGGTGCCAAAGGGGTAGCCCATCCCTGGCATGGATGCAAAGAGTGGCTATAATCATTTCAGCGGCAACATGGGGCAGAAAGAAGTCTTTATTTTTGACAATTAAGAATTATCACATAAAGTAATAATTTATCTACTGATTCTACTTCTAAAAATTGAGAAGAAATTAGATTTGCAAAAAGTGTATGTACATGTGGGCCAACAACAAGTTTATTAAAAGTGCAAAACTGGGCCTCTCTGGTGGCACAAGGGATTAAGCACCACACTATGAAGCAGTCTGCAGCCTCTGCAGCACGAGTTCAATCCCCGGCCAGCCAGGGAGCAACCCACATGGCGCAGTAGACCTTTCCTGCCTCACCTGCTGCTCCCCTCAGCAGTGTATTTCAGTCAGTCTGCCTGTTGTTTCCCACTCTGTCTCTGGTGAGTCCTCTCACCCCCCACATCTCTGGCCTGTACCCCAGCTCTTGTATGCATAAATAAATAAATCTTTAAAAAAAAAAATAAAAGTGCAAAACTGTAAACAACTTAGAGTTCATTCAAAAATGAATGACTGAATGAAATTACGGCAGTTTGTGAATTATATACACACAGTGATGGGGAATTAAAGGTAGTCTATATTAACTCCCATGGAAAGAGTCTATGATATTAATGTGGAAAAAAATTGCTGTAAGATAGCAATTATCTTATGAGCTCATGCTTGCAAAAAAAAAGGAATATTTTTATAAATGTGTGTATGTATATAGCATACATTGAGAGACAAAGAATGTGAGCAAGTGAAAAATACAGAAAAGCCAGTGGAAGAAAATTTAAGTCCCCAACAATCCCACCACCAACAGGTAAATCTAGGGAATAGGTAGAATTATAGGTCATTTTACGCTTTTTATCAGACATGTCTGCATTTTCTTGTTTTACAATATAAAATGTTCTAAATGATTTTTAAAATCACTCTTCCTATGTTCTTTTAAGAAGATTTCATAAAATACCTTCATCCCATGTAGTAAAATTCTTTCAACTTCACAAAAATGAACACCCAACAGCAATCCACCCCTGAAGCTATACACTTATGCAGATTTTCTGGCATGAACCAGATCATTCAGCACAGATGGCCAAAGGTAGGTTTAATCAATCTCATTATCAGGAAGCAGTTTCCTCAGGCAGTCAACCTGTTATTCCCAGCAACCCAACCTGACAGAGGTTAATCAATCAATGTCTAGAGCAAAGAGAGTCAGCAAATTTGTGAGTAAGATATGGCTTCAGTATATAGGCCTCCAATGTGCTAACTTAACTCTCTAGATCTGGATCACCCATCCACAGAAGAGGGCTGTGAATCAGGTAGAGTTTTCTGGTAGATAAGTGATAAGGATGAAATGATAAGCACACAAATATGATCAAAGTTAAATGCATGAATAACAACATACAGTTACAGCAGACTTTAGAAGAAATGGTGGTGGTGATAATGACGATGAAAGAAGAATAAATCTAGAGTAGGGATTTCAAAGTATGTTCCCTTAGGGAACTAATAATTCAGCTCTATGACCAGAGAGAAACAAACCACAAAAAAGTTATTACGTTCCTGGATAATATGGATAGCGTTTTTTCCAATTATATGTACTTCTCCCATAAATTATTCTTAAACGCTCGGTGCCTAACTTTAACTTGTTATGTAGGCAATACCAGCAAATGAAAAATAAATAAGTAAAAAGTATCAACAAGAAAATTCTTACCACTGATCATGTTTCATTCAAGATGCTTATTTTGTGTTTTATTCTTTGTTTTTTCCTGAGTTTTATTCTTTGTTTTTTCCTGAATATTTATGTCCCTGGCTAAACATATATTATAAATAGGTAATTTAATTACTGTCAGCTAAGAAATGTTTCTAATGTTATGGTGGAACTAAATATATCAGTGCAACAGCAATTCTTAGGAGTATAGCTCTGAGCAGGGAAACCAGTTTTGCTAATTTGGTGACATTGGGCAAATTTTCTACTCAAAAGCCTCCATTTCCTCCTCTGTAAAATGGAGACAATAGCACCTATACCTCACTGAGAAAATGAGAAAATGCTCTGATTACTTAGTAACTAGCACGTAATAAGTATTCAATAAAAGAACCTATTGTCAGGTAAGCTATGGAAACAACCCAAATGCCCAAAAATAGATGACTGGATCAAGACGATGTGGTACATATATACAATGGAATATTACTCAGCTATCAAAAAAGATAAACTCATGCAATTTGCAGCAACACGGATGCAGCTAGAAGGGATCATGCTCAGTGAAATAAGCCAAAAAGAAAAAGAAAAATACCAGATGGTCTCACTCATAACAAGAATTTAGAAAACCTAAATAAGGGACTAATTATAATAAAGTAAAAATCAAAATCAACAAGCAACTATAAACCAGAGACACACTACAGGGTGGGGAGGAAGGAGTAGGATCAAAACAAGGGGGGTGGGAATTGTGTGGGGACTATAATGAAGATGAAAATGCACACATTGTACAGAAATGAAAAATGATGTAAAAAAATACGTAAAATTTTAAAAAACTTAAAAAAAAGAACCTATTATCATCATCATTATTAATCAATATGGTGCTCCCCAAAGAACGCCTGGATGAGAGCACTCTCATTATCCTTATAATTAGGTCAGGTAAAGTGAGCATCCTATTGATGGCAACTTAAAAATTTACTAGTTTTGAAATAATGATTATAACTCCATTTGCTAAACAATAAATATTAAACATACTAACTACCACTGTGTAAGTTTTTAAACTATAAATAACTTTTCTTTGGAGAATATTACCACAAGAGAGGATTATCTGAGGAAATTATAAAATTAAAGAAGCTGAACTGAAATAAATGTTTGGATGGTAAAGTAAAGAAAAACCTACCATTTTCAACTTTGCTTTTTGGATGTGGTCCACTAAATGCTAAAAATTTTCCTGGCACAATCCAGTTGAAGTCACCATTTTCAACTCGCTGGCAGAATTTTGTAAGAAAAGAGAAGAGAAATATTTTATAACTCTTATACAATTTAAGAAACCTTTATAAATAAAACTACTTTTCACTCTGTTACATCTAGACTAACTGGACATACATGAAGACAAGGTAATATAGCTTTAAAGTAGAAACATGCATCTGGCTCTCAAAATATTTATGAATTCAATCCACTTCAGAAAAACTTGTACTAGACTGTATGTAAGCTTAAAAAACTTTATATAAAGTGTAGGTTTAAATAACTTTGTCTTCTGTCACTCAGCAATGAATTGAAATTGCTTGTCCCAGCAATAAATAACGGGAAATACAAGCACTTTCCAAGAACAAGGTAAACATACTTCAAACAATGATAAATCGTTAATTGTTAAGTATCAGGATCTTGATGAAGACACTTCCTTTCTTCTCTGTTTTTATAGAACTGCTGTCATTGCTGAGACTCAGATGGGGCTAAAGTTACACGATGTTTTGCAGATAATTGGGAGACAGGCGGGCAATGCATCAAGATATACATACATCACATCTTCTGTAAGCCTTCTATAGTCTGTCCACCCCCAGCCAGGCTGGAACCCCCAGATGTATTCTAGTCCCCACACTTGGGGTTCCCATGGCCCTGGCTGGGTACCTTTCTAAGCAGGGAGGGGAATGCAGTTCTTTTCAGGCCAAGGTGTTATATATAAGACTCTCACCTCCCTCCCCTGCAGAGCTGGCCTCACAGGTAGGAATCTGACTCAAACAGTGCCTGCATTCTCTACTGTAAGTGCTCAGTAATAAATATTTGTTCAATAAATTAGTTATATCACATAGTATCTCTGCTTTAATCACTTATGCTACCCACTATCATTTCAATGAAAATCAAAATATAGCTGTACAATTTTCATATTGAAAATGAAGATGTTTCTTTCTAGTTGTAAAAAGTTATAAGTGAAACTTTACATGATATCTTATAAACGTCTGACTAGCATTGATCTAATTGTAATAAACCTAGTATCTCCATAAGCCCTAAATAAAATCTTAGAGATTCTGGGGTGCCATGAGCACAAGTCCATAGTTATCTATTTATAACAGTGTGAATAATTAATAATATCCAACTCTCTATGGTAATTAGACATTTTCTTGTTCAAATAAAGCAGTCTCAAATTAATTGTCCTCTATCCCTCTCAATTAATTATTAACTTTAAACATTCTTTAGTTTCAAAAATAAAGGTATAGTCTAATCATCAAAAGGCTAAATCCAATCCTTTATGAACAGTATAAGAAAACAGGTTTCTGTATTCCCTATTTCTGTATCCTTGACCACAAGTTGACCTAGATAAATATATTGTTCTATGTCTGCTTATTTGAATTGTAGACATTCATATGGTTAAACAGTAACCTTTTAAAATCAATCATATGGAGAAAGGCAATGGATTCATTAAGATATACTCCCTCATAGAATCAAAAGAATATGTTTGCAAATCTGCCTACCCAAAAAGATAAAGTTAGATAATACTGGTCTATATTCAGTAGCTTGGATGACACTGAGGAAGTAAACAAAGACATTTGGGTTTTACATCCAATACTGAAAAAAATTGATTAAGAAAGCTACAGCTTTAAACTGATCTAAATAACATAAACTTATTTGGTGTCTTCTTTCTTAGTAAATCATGCATAAATATCAATACTTATCAATAATAGAATATTTAAGATGAAACAAATTGGTTTTTCTAATTAAATGCACAAACCATCAAAGAAATTCAGATCAGACTAGAACTTTTGATACTTTCCAACCCTATCACATTGTGAAAATAAATATCTAAGCAAGGATGAGACAAGAGGATACTTTAACCTCCTCCAGGGTAAAGTCTGCTACCTATACCAAGTAATACGTAGAACACTGCAGATGAGCTTCACTATAAGAAAACTCAAAATAAAAATCTGATCCTGAAACCAACAAAGCTAGGTGTCACTATTCATGCTGCTATAGGAATCTCCAGGATACAAGAGCTACCAGATTTCTTTGAAATAGCTAGTCTTCAAGTGCATTTAAAATAGCACTTAACTTCAATTGTTATAACTTCTGAGAAATACCTCTGTGCCAGTGAAGCTTGCCTCTGTTAGAACAGTCACAAATACATCTTTCAGCTCAAACACTGAAAAACATTTGGGTTTATTTACCACTGTAACAAACCAACAATAAGACACAAACGATAAACCTTGAGGTTGGCAATTACAGGATTGATTCCCTTTATCAACACTTGTTTTCTAAGATAACAGTTTTTAAGCACAATTCAGCATTCAAATATTTGCTAAGCCTTTATTATGTGTCAAGGACTCTACATCAGTATTACACATAAAATAAAATAAAGATTCCCTTTGTGTGCTTGCAGAGTCTGAAAGCAAGCGGGGATGATAAAAACAGTAATGATAAAAGCAGCAAATATAGACCCAACTGTGCTAGGCAGAACTCGAGTACATGCAACTCACTTAATTCTTACAGCCACCCTGTGAGGTAGGCAAAACTATCATCTCCATTTACCTACTATGGACTGAACTTCTGTGTTCCCTGCTGCAACGTTCATATATTGAAACCTACTTCCCAATGGGATAGTATCTGGAGAGGGGGCCTTCAGGTGGAACCCCCATGAATGGGATTGGTGCCCTTATAAAACAGACCCTAAAGAGCTCCCCTGCTCATTCTGCCATGAGAGGATACAACGAGAATATGGTAGTTAGAAACCAAAAAGTGAGCTTTCACCAGACACCAAATTTACCAGCACCTTGATCTTGGGCTTCCCAGCCTCCAGAATCATTAGAAATAAATGTTTGTTGGGCCTCCCTGGTGGCAAAAGGGGTTACATAGCACTGTGAAACTATCTGCAGCCTCTGCAGCATGAGTTTGATCCCCAGCTGGCCAGGGAGCTACCCACATGGCGCAGCAGACCTCTCCTATCTCGCCCACTGCTCCCCTCAGCAGTGTATTTCAGTCAATCTGCCTGTTCTGTTCCCCACTCTGTCTCTGGCAAATCCTTGCACATCCCCCACCCCCACTGCATCCCAGTTCTTGTATGCATAAATAAATAAATCTTTAAAAAAAAGGAAACAAAGAAATGCTTGTTGTTTAGGCCATACAACCCCTGGTGTTTTGTTACAGCAACCTAAACTAAGATATCTATTAATGAAAATGGGGCATTAATAGACATATATAAAAGATGTTGAACAGTAGCATAAAATTATCTTTAAAAAAATCAAAGGTCAGAACTAGTGTGCCTTTTTAATTCATTAAAAAGGGCTATATATATATATATATATATAACTTCTAAGACAATAGTGTTGATAGTATAGCTGTATTATATCCTTGCAAACATGCCTTAACAATTAAGCTTAAGCTTTATGAGCTTAGAGCAAAGTAAATATTTGAGTTATTTGGTTTAAATTAAGTTACCATGCCATCTGGCTTTAAATAATAATCAAACTCTAGATAATTAATTTAGATTTGTTCTTGAGAAAGATGGTGTGGCAGAGGGGAAGAGTAGTACCCCATGTGGATGATTGCTTCACTCTGCTAACAACAGCTGGGGTGCAGAGAAATTAGGGTAGAAAACATGTAGGGGCCTGCTCCAGCAGCCTCGAGTGGTAAAGGCCTCTGCTGATGTAACCACAGGGAGCAAGATGCTGGTACATGTCTGCAGGAGTCATTCCAAGACATGGAGTTCTAAGGCCATCATGCTTACATGATGGTTACTGAAACCTGGAAACAGGTAACTTCACTCATGGAGAGTGTGTATAATCTGACACCATAAGGCCATAAAGAACAGCAGCTTTTCAGGTAGGGAAAGAGGAAAAGGGGAGACACAGAAAGATGGAAGCTGGAAGAAGAAAGGCAAGTGCCAGGACCTTAAATGTTCAGGAAAGAAAGTAAGCTTCTAGAATTAGAGACTACTGGGTAGATCAAGGAGCAAGAAGATGAGGCACAAGTATTTGGTTTTGCTAACTCTTGTGTTAGCAAAAACAGTTTTCAGTAGCATCGCAAAGGTCAAGGACAGACCAGAATCAGTTGACCAGTAGAGTAAAAAGAGTCAAGACTGCTCTCTGGGCCTCCCAGGTGGTGCAGCGGTTGAGCACTGGGTTGCGAAGCTGCCCACAGCCTCTGCAGTGCCAGTTCGATCCCCGGCCGCCAGGCGAGGGACCCACATGGCACACAAACCTCTCCTGCCGCCCGCTGCTCCCCTCAGCAATGTACTTAGTCAATCTGTCTTCTCTACTCCCAGCTCTGGCTCTGGTGAATTCTCTCACCCTCCGGCGCTTCTGACTGTGCCCAGTGCTTGTATAAATAAATAAATCTTAAAAAAAAAAAAAAAAAAAAAAAAAAGACTGCTCTCATAAGAAGTGCAGAAGTAAAAGAAGGGACAGAGATCAAGCAATAATTAAAGAAGCTGGAGAGGAAGACATGGGAAATTTGTTATGACAAAGTAGAACTCAAAGTTCTACTTTGATTGAACAGACATGGCCTTTGAGCCGGCAGTGGGTGTGGTGTATTAGTAGATGCGGGAATTTGGCCTCCCTCTACTTTCGTCATTTTAGTGTCCAGGAAGAAATTTAGCTCCAGGGAAATGCTTCTAATAGTTCTTTGAATAGTCAAGTCAATGAGGGAGGCACACTTCTGTAGATCTTCCAGGTGGTGAGGACAGGCCCACACACCTGCATTTGCAAGCTTGCTTGACCCCAGTCCTCTGGCAGGAATTCACAATTACAGTGGCAGAAATCCATATCCTTCTGGTTCCATAATTCATGAACAAGAGAGCACACCAAGCGGCATCCAGATTACATTCTAGTTTGCTGGACAAATTCTAGTCCAAACAAAGCAAAGCTTTGAAATATCATGCCTTAGATTTTCAACAATGATTACTCCCACTGCTGACCTGAGGTAACACAATGAAAGGGGACCATCTAACAAACCTTACTTGTTTTCCAAGTGGATGCAAAAGGGCACCCTCAGGAGTCTA